GACTGTTACTTTTAAAGCATGATTTAGGAAACCAGCTAGGAAATAAGGTTATCTTGAGTTTTTAAAAATTGTTTTCTAGTTCCACCCTCAGATTATAATGTAGATCTGCAATAGGCCACTGAAATCTTTCAAGCATTGCTTTAGGGAAAAGTATAGACTTTTTTGAGATGGCCTCATGCTGTCTTCAGCCTCCCAAGTAGCCTCCCAAGTATTGTGGCGGGACTAACAGGGGCCTGCCACAATGCCCAGCTATTTTTTGTTGCAGTTTAGCTGGCTCCGGCCGGGTTCAAACCTGCGAGCCTTGGTGTATGTGGCTGATGCCATAACCACTGTGCTGTGGGCACCAAGCTGACACTTATTTTAAAAGCAAATTTGCAAATACTGTAAAGGAATCTCAGCTTACTTGAAAGACCTCTCAAAAGGTAGATATTCTATTTAAAATGGTACCTTCTAAAACCAGAGAGTGATGGTGCTGCTAAACACCCTCCTGAGAGGCCAGCCCCACACCCAAAGAGGTGACAGTGCCAGGGTTGAGAAACCCAGTCTAATTATTAAGCCATCTCATAATTTAGAGCTGGCAGGGGGGTGTTAGTGTGAAGCACTCTGTTTTCTTCTGAGCACTGCAGCCTCACCTAAGTAACTACAGCAGCACACCACTGCACCTGGCAGTTTTACAACCTCTGTGAAATAGGCTCAGGAACTTCAAATAAAAGGCTATTGAGTGGAAATGGAAGCTATTTGGACCCCCCAAACGCTTATGGCTAAATGAAACAAGGCCTGAGAATTTTCTAATGGTCACATATATAAAGAGAGGTAAGGTCAGTATATAAATATACATCTGCAATTTGTATTAAAACCAGGAAGAACATACAAAGACTTTATTTTTGATACAAGTCTCTCTGTACCCTGGGGGTAGAGTGCTATGGCATCACAGCTTGCAGCAACCTCAAACTATCTGGCTCAAGCCATTCTGTTGTCTCAGCCTCCTGAGTAGCTAGACACAAGGCCCAGCTATTTTTAGAGGCAAGAGTCTTGCTCTTGTTCAGCATGGTCTCAGTTGAACCCGAGCTGAGGCAATCTACCTGCGTTGGCCTCCCAGAGAGCTAGGATTACAGGCGTGAACCACCGCATTCAGCCCCAAAGACATATTTTAATGCCACAACACAATTTTTCCTTTGGTAGAGAATTCTCAGCCTCCTGATGAAGTTGGAATTTAGACTACTGATAACTCAAAGCACGAAATTGGTACAGTGAGCATACTGTAATGCCTTCACCATGTACCTTCTAAGATGCTTAGAAATGGAGATGAAGAAAGAGTCCAAGATATATGTCCCTTTTAAGTATTTCATTCATATTTCATATTGGTAAGTACTGCATTTTTCTTGTATTCCCTTAAGTAGCCTGCAAATTTAAGGTTTAACTTTTGCTAACAAAGTTAAGCCCTTAACCATAAATTAGGAAATGTTTTTTGTGTATGTAGACTTTTTTTTTGAGACAGGAGTCTTATTCAGTCACTCTGGGGTTGAGTGTCGTGGCGTCATAGCTCATAGCAACCTCAAACTCTTGGGCTCAAATGATCCTCTTGCCTCAGCCTCCCAAGTAGGTGGGACTACAGGCACCTGCCACAACACCCAGCTATTTTTAGAGAGGAAGTCTGGCTCTGGCTTAGGCTAGTCTTGAACCTGTGAGCTCAGGCAATCCATCCACTTCAGCTTCCCAGGGTGCTAGGATTCCAAGTAGACTACTATTTTTAAAGGTTAAACCATTATTTTTAAGGCTTAGATGTAGAAAAGCAGCTTTACCAGCTCACCTTGACAGAACTAAAGAAAAGCTGAAGAGATTTCTTAGCCAGAATGTCAACAATGTACAGGACATCAGATGAAATCAGAGCCAGTTCATCTTAACCATCTTTTTACAAAGGTTGAATTGGCCCTGTTCTTATCTAAAACCAGCCTTAACAGTTGTGTGCTTGATTCTCTTCTTGCCTACTTAAAGATTCTAGTTCAACTTTTTGTTTTTATCATAGTTTTTTCTCTTATTTACTATCGGGAAAAAAACCCTCTATATACCTCACTTCCCCAGCCTCCTAAACTGCTATCCCGTTTCTCTGCTCCCTTTCATGGCAAAACTACTTGATATCTAGGTGTGATTCTCCACTTGCAAATCTCCCATTTTCCCTTTAACTGACTTCAGTGAGGTATTTATCCACTGCACTCCAGAGCAACACCATAGTCAAGGTCTCTAAGACATCCATTTTGCAAAATCCACCCGACTCTACCTCTCATCACACATGGCGTGGATAATCATTTTTGAAACATCTTAAATAATTCAGTAATGTCTTGTGGTTTTCTTTTGTTACATTGTCCAGCCTAACCCCCCCCCCAACATACCTTGGCCCCTGAATGTTGAAGTGGCACCCTCACCCCCTCCAGAATTGAGTCTCTTTCAATTAAGTGCCATTTATGTGATAAGACTCCAGATTTATAAATCAAACCCTCATCTATCCCAACCCTCACTCTTCCTCATCTGCTTATTGACACCTCTCTTATATGTCTGATAAGCACTTTGAACCTAATATTGCAAAATAAGATCCAACCTTGCCTCTTATTGGCATCACTACTCAACCAATTTTTAGGTCCCAAACCTCCATAAAACCCATGACCGAGGTATTAGCAACCCTGAAAAGCATATCTTAAACCAAACCACTTTTGTTGTTACTTTACAGGTTGAACATTCTGAATCTGAAATCCAAAACTTTGAGTGCTGACGTGACACTTGAAGGAAACATTCATTAGAGGAATTTGGATTTGGGATGCTCATCTGGTATAAAATGAGTATTCTAAAATCTGAAGCACTTCTTGTTGGTCCCAAGCATTTCAGATGAGGGATACTCAACCTACCAAAGTACTGTCAAGGGTTGTTTTTTTTTTTGGAGACAGAGTCTTAGTCGCCCTGGGGTTAGTGCCATAGCTCACAACAACCTCAAACTCTTGGGCTCAAGTAATCCTCTTGCCTCAGTCTCCTGAGTAGCTGCAACTACAGGGACCCACCACAATGCCCAGCTATTTTTTAGAGATGCGGTCTCGCTCTTGCTCAGGCTGGTCTCGAACTCCTGAACTCAAGCAATCTGCCCACCTTGGCCTCCCAGAGTGCTGGGATTACAGGTGTGAGCCACTGCACCCAGTCCCTATCAATGGTATTTTAAATCTTGATTATACTCTTAAAAAAGAAATGTCTGTCAGATAACTGTCATTCTCCTTTTTTTTTTTTTGAGACAGAGTCTCACTATGTCACCCTGGGGTTGAGTGCCATGACATCATAGTTCACAGCAACCTCAAGGTCTTGGGGCTTAAGTGATTCTCTTGCCTCAGCCTCCCTTGTAGCTGGGGCTACAGGTGCCCACCACAATGCCTGGCTATTTTTTTGTTTGTTTTTAGTAGGCTCGGGCCAGGTTTGAACCCACCAGCCCCAGTGCATGTGGGCGGTGCCCTAACCACTGAGCTATGGGCACCAAACCTATTTTCCTTTTTAAACACACCATAGCCTTCAGCTGTGCTCAAAATAATATATGCACTGCTTACCTTTGCGCCCAAGGCCCTACATCAGTGGTCCCTAACCTTTTTTTGGCACCCGGGACTGGTTTCACAGAAGAGTTTTTCCATTGGGGATGGGCAGGATTAGACTTTTTATAAGGGAAAAAAAAAAGACTTTATAGAGTACACAGATTCCTCGAGTGTGCAGTTTACAGTAGGGTTTGGGGTTCTATAAGAATCCAATGCCACCACCTGATGGGACAGGAAGTGGAGCTCAGGAGCTGATGCACAAACAGCAGTAAATACAGAAGAAACTTCCACTATCACCACCTGCTGCGCACCTGGTTCCTACAGGCCACAGACCCCATACTGGTACTGGTATTGGTCCAGAGGTTGGGAACGACAGCCCTAAAGGTCTAGCACCTAGCCCTTTTGTATCTCATTCTCCCTTGTCCTCTAGTCCAGGCACCCTGGCTTTATTCCTCTAACAAGCCCAGGTGGTTATTCCCTAATGTTGTCTTTCTCCTGATCTTTGCATGGGTGCCTCAAAAAGTCTTACTGATTTCCCCTCTACTTCAGTGCCTAAATAGTAGGTACCCTATACATATTTGTTCAGTAGGCAACTTAATGAATTCAGAATTTTCCTAAATGTGAATTTACCTGTATATACCAAATCTTACAAGGTTTTTGGAAGAACAAGAATGAAGGAAGTTTTTAAGGGAAGTTCTATCAAGGTATGATGGCTTGATAACTCTTTTTACCTAGGGTTGCTAATCTTAATAACCAAATAATCAATTCCCCTGGGTTATACCAGCATAATCACTGACAAATTCTTTTGAATAACTGCAGACTTCCTTTTCTGACATTGCCATTGGCTGTTAATCAGTCATAGCTTATATCCACTTTCTCTCTTTGATGAGCTTTGATAGGTACTAGTGTTTCACAAGCAATTTATTTGTGGGTCTGTTTTTTATTTTTGTGCAGGGCCACCCCCAATCTGACAGTGCTCTTTTAGGGCTTGAACCTTCGCTTCATTTCACTGACTACAATAGTGTTTTGCAACTGATGAGCCAGTTAAATCTGTCAATACTGATCCATTTTTTTCCTTAATCATTGAGTTGTTTTGATTTCAAGTGGATTAGGCAGTCTTACCACCCTTAAAAGACAGCAGTTATTTCCTGTCAGAGACGAACAATCAGATACAGAAGGGATAAAAGTCCCACACAAGATCTCAGTGTTCATTCTAGAGCTGAACTAGGACTTAAGGTTTGTAGTTATGGTGCACCTTGAAATATGCAAGTTTTGAACAAGGATGCATCTTTTTTTTAACACCACATGTATCCCAAATGGTCAGGGAATGAGAGAGTAAAAACAAAAAGGCACCATTAGCATATAATTGACAAAACTTGTTTGGGTATTAAATATGGACACAATGCAATATTTGTTCATATTAACCATCTGATCTGATATCTTGGCCAAATTTAGATGGAAATGTCTGTAGTGAAGCAAGGATGAGCAAGAAGTGAGCGAAATTTCCAAGTCAAGTAGACAATCTTAAATCTATACACTAGGGTGCCGTGGCAGTTGCCTATCGTCCCACCTTCTTTGAGAGGATCACTTGAGCCTGGAACCTCATATACAGCCTGGACAATACAGCAGCGACCTTCTATCTGAAACAAAACCCCCCCATATAATAAGAACCATCTGGCACACAGTAGGCTTTCGATAAATATTTGCTCGTGATTGGTCCAGTGTTACTGCCTCCACGGTTTACTATTTAACAATTTTGTTTTCTTTTTTCCCCATGAACACTTGTTATTTGTACTGAGGATGTAAGCTGGGTTCCCTGCGCTTAAGAAGCCCAGGAAAAAAGACAAGATATATTATAAATTCTTACCTTCCAACACAATAAACGCTGCAATGACAAAGCTACGTACAAGATGCCAGGGAAGGGGAATGAAGCACCTCGGTTGGCTTTTGGGAGGCAGAGGCGTCCCTTGCAGGAAGGCCAGAAAACCTGGTTTAGCTTTACTACACCAAGAATCTGGGTTTTAAAGAAATAGGCGGCTAGGATTGGATTTTGAGCAAGAGGGGTGAAACTATGCAGGTCATAGGCTGGAGCACGTGAACGGCTGAAGAGGAGAGAGCCCCAAGGCAGGGTTACCAGCCAGGCAGGCTACTGGTTACGAACAACGCTGTACAAGACACTAGGTTGGAAGGAAACTAACGGTAAAAAATACCATCCCTTTCATCTCATCCTCCAGCAGAATATAAATTCCAAGTTTTCATACCTCCGCAGCGACATCCATGTTAAATGCAAAGAATAGAACATAAAGACTCTAGCTCCTCAAGGAGCTTTTTAATCACGCTGCCTTTACTATTGACCTTCACCAGCAAATTTTCCCCGCCAAAGGATGCAGTATTCTCTGTTTCATAAAGACCTGCAGTTAAGTCATGAACGCATGGTCCCCTCCTCCCCTAGTTTAGTCGATTCTGTCCTGGCAAGTGAGATGAAAATGCCGGGGACGAGGGGAGGGTCGGCAGCAGCCCCGAGCTTCACGCCCCCGGGCGGCAGAGAAGCCGGCGACGCGGGCTGCGGGCCGAGGCGCTCCGCCCG